GCGATCTTCCACACAGGACACGAACGGCTGAACATTTTATGAAACCACACCATATCATGAAAAGTCAAATTTCTCAACAGTGAGATCAAAAAAGCCATCCATATCTGGTGTATTTTGTCACAGGGAGTCATGAAACTGGATAAACATGTTAAAATTTATAAAGACTGAAATGATCAAGATCTAATGGGTCTGAGATTATGCGATTCACGTTAGATGGCATGTTTTTGTATAGATGACAAGCAAACAGAAATTTCTTGGTAATTTATAAACGAAGCGAGTTGAAATCCAAGATTTACATTGTCAGAAGTTGTATTAATTACCTGATGCAATTTGGCCGACATCAATATGGAAGTTGTTTGTRAAGTTTCATCATGAAGTATCCACTTCAATATAAATTTTTGGTTCTTTCAATTTTGAATAACACACCAGGACTTTTGTCGTAGGTCGTGCCCAGAACAAATAAACAACTGGACGAAGCCTTGTTTRTAGAACTTTCAGATTWTATTYAAATYAAGTCAATKAAAATTGCGTGGCATACATTTCTAGCTCACTGTTTTGAGGGCGTGTGCAAAAATGTTGATGTTGACACGTCGCACGTTTTTGGCCATAATGTCGGAAATAAACATCTCCAAAAGCCAGAACTTCCAATGTACTTTCTCCATCTCTCGASCAAATAAAAACAATTAGAAAGTGTAAGACTTTCGACCAAGAATTCGGAWTAAGCTTCAATCGAAAGGTTTTTCTCTTTTTTCTAGAGTTCAATATGTCGGGCCCACTGGTTTAAAACTATTTCTTGAAAAACCSGGGACGTGCCCAGAGCGGAAACCTACCTAAATTAAAATCTTATGTAATTCTAAAAAGAATAGAATTGTAATTTCGCCTTTGAAAATTGCGTGGATATCTCAAATCAACGTACAAAGACGTGAGAATTTTAGTAAAAATTTCCACCTTCGAGTAGAATAATTGAATCTCTGCTCGTATTTATGCCGAAACAAGTTCTTAAACTTACCCTAAATTGGACTATTTTTGCACAGTTTCATCTACATTCAAAACATCTTCTTTGATTATTCATGGGAAGAGTAAAACACACGCAAATGAATACAAAAGAGAGGACACCAGCTMTYAACAYWRCCTTCGCCATRTTTACTTRCATCTTCAAAGTTTCCCGCCAGACACAGGTATACCGCGCGCTATTTGACTCACGCATGCGCAGACAAATGTCCCTGCTGTTTTATCAACCTCGTTCCCAGGGCTACTCTGCTCGCGTTTTTTCTGGGCGCAGAGTATCCCTGGGAACGAGATTGAGCCTTTATAAATTGTGGGCTTCATATGCCTTTATGTGCTCAGATTTGAGTTTCAATAAATGTTTAGTGTTTCGTGCACTTATCCTTTAAATGACGTCACATTTGTTTTGTCGAAGTGCATCATGGTACATCAAAGTTTCTAGATTTTGAACTATGAAGGTCGAGGTTTCTGGTATCCTTTATCGAGAATGCTTTGAAAGAACGCTAAAGAAAATGCCCCGCATACTCAACCTCGTTCCCAGGGCCTTATCCCTTCGCTGACCCCAAGCGAAGGGATAAGGCCCTGGGAACGAGGTTGCTGCATACTAGCCTAAGAGGTCAAGGGCTTCCTGTCTTTTTCTGAGAGCCAGAAGAGTGAGAATGGGAGTTTTGCCTGGGAAAGAGTCTACCCGCACAATAAAGTTTAGTTTTGTATTCTGAGAATGAGTAATGCTTGTTGCGAAGAAGCTCAGAATAGTAAATATTAAATCAAAACTGAACTTACATCGTGAGGTCTTGTCAGCTCGTCCAAATCCTTGTCAAGTCGCTGTAGGAATTCATCAGTGATGAGAATCTAATCACAA